GCACAATACTACAGGCTGTCTCACTAAATTCTCATTACCATACAATGAACAGTTAATTTGCAAAATAACCATCAATTGTCTCAATCTTCACTGTTCCTTCTGTAAATATCAATTCATCTTCTCTGATTTCATTGTTCATGCATTTTCATACCGATTGCGCTTCATTCTTGTTATTTCCTTATCGGTCTTCTGCCAAAATACATTCTATGTCTAACCATCACCATATACTACTTATGAGGATATAAGTAGACCACACTACACTATCATTATTATTACTATTATTAAAAATGTTATTCCTATTAAACAAGTACACATGTCTACAAGTGTTAATTCTCAATTTCCTTTGAAAATCCCATAAATAATAATAATAATAAGTTTATAGATCAAAACATTTAATTCAAATCATACCCATTTATCATGGATAGTAAAGTGGAAATATAAGCAAATAAATAAAAACGAAACAACTATCCAGTACTTCCAGGTTTACCTTGGTGATCTATAGCTTCAATTGACTCATGCTTACAATCATGAAAATACTGAAATCACCACTAGGAAACCCCTTCTGATAAAAATAAATAAGTATTTATTTATTCTTGGATAAACTCTTGACTGATATGATCCATACCTTTTTTGTTTTGTTATTTACTAATCATCACCATCATTATCACTATCTTATCGCTGTCATACCATTTCAAACTATTCATCATAGACCATGTTATCTGGATAAAATATAAAAAAAACTTTCTTATTGGTAATTTAATCAAGTGTATAGTTTTTTTGTTGTTGGTTTTCATGAAATAAAATTAGAACATGTGTACAATAAGAGAAATCAAATAGTTTCGCTCTATTATACCCTCCCACCCACTTCTCCCTCCCTCTCTCTCTCTCTCTCGCTCACTCTGTACTTGTGTTATTAAGTTGGTTAAAGGTATGGTGAAATGTATGTATATAGTAACCATGGTGATTATAATATACTTGTCTGTTTATAGTTATTTATGTATATGTGTATAGGTAAGTTAGTGGTATAATTTATCATTGTATATTCCTGTTATATTATGGTAAGAAAACATTATAATTTAATCTATAATGATGTCTTACTGTTGTAACTAATACATAGTTTTGTATGATAAGCCGAATAAATAACTGTTCATAACAGAGTCATTATTAAAAATCTAGTGATACTAGATAACTCAATTGATTGATCACTGGGTGATGATCAATGTCATGCGTGTCAAGTCCTTCTTAGTGTAGATCGAATGCTATCGATCAAGTTGCAATCGAATCTGTCAGAGAGCACCAGTTCCCTCAAGATTACAGGTACACCTTGCTGATGAGTGCCAAGTAGCATGAAACCCGGGTCCAGAGTTTCCTGTTGACCACCTCCAACCACTATCTTATACTGGATTACTATTTGGTCTTTAGTATTGTTCATCCAAGACTCTTTCATAAAGGATTCAATTCAGGACTATCGGTTTCACATATGAAAGTTCAATTTTAAGATTAGGGAGTTGTTATCCAATTGTGTACATATGTAACTTTAATAATTTCATAATATTGTGTGACCATGTTTTATTGCCTGTGGTAGATAACTGTCTCATATCCAACATAGTCATGGATTCTCATTAGAACTTCAGGAATGGCATTAAGATTATATTTTTCTTATCTTCGTTCTCTTCTTCTGACTTTAAATGCAAACGATCATCTATATATCATTAATAAGTTAGCGGAATACTTTCAAGGAGTTGAAATTTCCCAATTGTTAATATTCAAATATTTGTTTTCATACTGTACGAGGATAACAGTTGAATACATGATGTATATTTCATCCTTTTATGGATAAGTCAGCTGAATGTACACGCACCTCAGTGCTAATGCTTGCACTTAAACTGATTAGTTCCAAATAGGACGAAATGGGCATCCTGAATTTCATTACAGAAAAGTTAGTAGTGTGTTATGATTTACTCGTTAGAATAATCTTCTATGTATGAATTTAACTCTCTGTTTTTAATGCTTCAGTAGTCAGATATCAGTAACATGAAGTGCATAAATAGTAGTATATAAGAAACTAATTTTATACCCCTCGTACAGCATAAACCGCCGACCAATAGTCCCCAACCTACTCTGTCTTGGAATTTCCTTTCCACTTGTTCCCATGTGCTATTCATTCTTTGGATATCTGCTTCCAATTCCAGACACAATGTGTTCTTTGGTCTTCCATTTTTCCTATTGTCTTGAAAATTTCAAGTTGAAGTTTGCCTCTCTAGGCAGTTTGATGATTTCTAAAGTATTTTCCTACTCACCTCCATCATCTTTTCCTAATTTCATCTTCCACTGGAAATTGGTTTGTTGTCTACCACATTAGGTTGTTCCTGATGGTATCCGGCCAACCTACATTCAGTATCTTGATAGGCAACTGCTTATAAATACTTGTACGTTTTAGTTCTCCAAGTTTCAGCTCTGTGTCACAGAACTTTCTGGTATGTTGAAGTTATAGTTTCTTTAACCCCTTTCCAGTTGTCCATCATAGTGTTTTCCTCTTTTTCGAGTAGATCTTTTAAGGCTTGAAAGTTGTTGCTGAGTGCTATCTCGAATTTGTTGTGTTCGTTAATATCTTGACGGAAGGCTCTATTGAAGTTTTATAATGGTGTGTGTTCAATTGTCCAGAAGTTACTTATAATATGTTTATTATTGTTTAAGTGAACTTGTGTTATCATGTTCGGTGGTACTAATAATCATCGTCGCTCTTGGAAGGTAGGAGACTAGTTTGCTCACTCAAGGTTTCATTGAAATGTCCAACATTCAATCTCATATCCTGTTGGGGATGTCAAATCCCCAGAACTTACTGGGTAAATGGCTTAGTTTTTGTAATGTTATTTCGAAAATTTGAATTTAGCTGTTTTCGCGCCAAACGCGCTCTTTTTACCTTCACGTCATATTTCCCAATTGTAAACTATCTTAAACGCTATTGGTCCATTGTTTCTTTGTGTGTGCTATTTACTAATGATGCTCAAGGACAAATTGTTGCTGTATAAATGCGCTTAATTTTTTCCCTTATTCGATTGCTTGTACTCGGCTGCTTACGGAATACATATATATTCCCCTACTTGCCTTGGACTTCTTCATCTAGTTAGCGGGGCCTGGGACAACAGATTAGAATAGCTTATCGTGTCATTGTGTCATTGGCTTTCGTTCGTTACTGCGGAATCGATTTAGCTTCAAGCATAACATATCCACATATATTAACACTGACTTATTGAAGCTGAGATTCATTTCCTGTAGAATTGTGATCCTTCAAAGTGACCAGACTACGAGATGACATCATTCTATGAAGTCAGTGATCATGAATCTGAGCTTGTTGTAAAAAAAGCCATAGGATTATTATTTTCAATGTGTGTAGTAATCATAATATAATAATCATAGTATTGATTCTATATTGATAATACTCAGAGGCTGAAGGAGTTGTTTAGGTACATTCATTCTTTATTCTCCTCTTTTGTTTGAACACAATTCCACGTAAATGAATAACCCTTTTCTGAGTGAGGATACACGAAATTCCGCTATCTTCTGTATAAACGCATAGATTTTGTCACTGATTATGGTCTATATATATATGACGTGTCTCAGGATGAGTTACAATAGAACAGACCCATATATTATCTTTCTCTAAATCCTTAGTCAAAGTATTCCTACATACATCCTCCTCCATTTATCTTTGTATAATCGTCTCATCGTACTGATCTGTAATGTCATCTTTAGACATATTTATGCCACACTCTACATTGATTATGATTATTAATTTTAATATTAGTCGGCATAACTTTCTAAGTGACTTCTAATAGTTAACTAATTTTGCCAGTTATCAATAGTTCAATGGAAGTTGTTGAAAATCTATTCAAATCATTATGGATATGCATTGTTGAGGATTCCTAGACTAGGACGAAACAACCATCTAATGCTTTCAGATTTTCAATGGTGATCTGGCTTAGATCAACCTATGAATCTAACTATTAAAAGAAAACAAAAACTCACTTAATATTGTTTGTTTGAATCTTCCCATTGATGTTCAGAACTGTAACTGATCAGTCTCGTATTGGCATATGTGCACACTGTGTGTATTGCCTCAATATACCCTTAATTCACAAGAATTGTAAGCAAAGATGAATAGTGTCTAGCAGTGGAATCCATGACTCAGTAGCTAAGTGGATAACGTGATGACGTTTGAATTGAAACGGTACTGTGTTCGAGTCCCAGAATGAACATCAACAAGCCTGAGATGCAGGTACATCCAGCTGACGAGTCCCAAATAAGTCGAAACGCACATCCTTGATTCCACTGCTAGCCACTATCCATCTTTGCTTAAAACAAAACAAAAACGTTTAAATATAAGATTTATATCTTATGCATAAACACATATCCTATACCGTTTATATTTTACATGAATACAGTTTTCAATTTACATTCATACATACATACACACACATGGACATACAAAGTTGTATATTCATACATATATATGTACTTGTAGAATGTCTTTTTTTAGAAAATAGAGTAGTAACTAAGTGAAAAAAAAGAAAATTATTTAATAAACCAATCGAATTCATATTTTTCATTTAATTTATAAAAAAATGTCCGACTGATATTATTCATGATGTACTATGTGTATATGAATGGTTCATTTATGGCTCTTATTCTTTGTACTATTATCCATGAATCATAGGATCAAAAGTTTACAATTTAATGTACAAGATGAAGTTGAATTGTTAATTGTATATTTACATATAATGATGTATGTATGTATATCTACTATAGGAGGGGGGTGTATCAAAATCAACACTATGCTAATTGTATATCTACATATAATGATGTATCTAAGTCCATGTACTATAGGGGGGGGTATCAAAATCAACACTTTACTCATCAAGCTTAAGATGGTTTTTGTTGTTGTTTCGTTTTTACTTAATATATATATATATATATATAAGTAGTAGTTTGAATGATCAATCCTATGGTATATTCACACTGATCAAGTATCATATAAGAAAACAAAAGAAACAAAAAGGAAACTGGAATAATTCATACAGTACAATTCTATGAATGATATTGTTCATTGTAATTTATTTACACACTAATCAATGAACACAGTACTAACCATTTGTGGATTGTTTCATTATTAGACATCAGTGAAGATGAAGACTTCACTTATATAGTTCTGTCTTTTGCTTTTTTTAAATATTTTTTTTCCTTTTTTTTCGGTGGAAAGATTTTGTTGAAGGAAAGATTTCAGGTTATTATCCTTGTCATCTATTACCCCCCCCCACGCATTTCCAGTTTAGTTGACTTTTTATTTTTATGTATATGTGATCAGATTGTTCGAAATGTATTGCACTAATATTGCACTATCACATAGTTCTGATAATCTTCGTCTTCTTATTACACTATTGAAATTTATATAGTTCTGTTTTCCTTTTTTTGGAAGGGGGAAACATTTCGTTAAAGGGGAGATTTCAGATTATAATAAATCATTTCTCCTTTCTAATAATAACGATTCATATTTCGTCCTTTTATGGGACACCTCAGTAACACCTCAATATTCCTATTATAAATAAACATAACACAATTAAACATATACAATTTGTATCTGTAAAATGTTTATCTCGATGATGAAGCATTTTGGTAAGTTTTCACTTAGAATATTCATATGAATTTTGATTTGATCCCTTTTGTTTAGATGTAGTAGGTTGACTTAGTACTCATTTAAAACATTATCCTTATTCCATTAATAGGAGGATTTCGTACCATATGTTTCCAAGTAGTTATATATATTCAGTTACTGAGATTAGTTCAGTATAGGGGTGTATGTATTATTTATTTAAAGACATAAATATTGGAACAAAGAGGCACCAGATACATATGTGCCACACAAAAATCCACGATCCTGCACTTGTGAGATTCGAACCCAGGACCTGTCAGTCTCGAGCCAAAGAACTTAACCGATAGACCATTGAGCGGGCATCCAATTATTTCTTGTTTTAAAATTTTCATTCCACAAAGAATTTTAATTTTAATTTTTCCAGCACTTAAGCCAAATTAATTCTAGTTTAATCGTTGTGTTTCTTTATTGTATATCTCACGGAATTTCGATACCATCATCATCAACGCCATTTCTTAGAATGATTCATTTTCTTTTCAATGTGTCAAAAAAAAACAGAACTCATCTATGAATTCTAAGACATTCGGGCATAGGTATAGAAAAAATAACGTTAACTGAGCATTGACCTTGAACTTGTTTGATGGGAATAAAACAGCCGGTTTGTATTAGTGTCTATAAGGAATAGAAATATGAGTATTTGTATGTGTGTTGGATCTTGAAAGGGTGAAAAACACATCTATAAACAAATGCACATATGGGAAATAATGGTCTGAAATTTTTTGGAAGATAAATTCAAGCCTTGAATAGGCATTAAGAGAGGAAATTTTAGGGGTTATATTCCGTTTAATCTGTTTTGTGAATGTGAATAGATGAACATGATACTGTTATTCTGATACAACGAATAGAACAATAGTAATCAATAAGAATTGGAAACAGTTTTGACGGTTAAACTACATGGAGTCCATTTTCTTCGGCAATGGAAGCCGAGAAGTTTAATACTAGAAAGTGTTGATAATAACCAGAGTACAGAAGAATGTACTGTATGATTATTGGGTTTTGTTTATAAAATCCTGCTTACTGTAAGTGAATTTAAACGGGAGCTGGATAGTGAGCTACATAGAATGTGATGACTACTGTATCCAATATATTTCGACTTAGCAGTGACAATTTAAACAAAATGTTGTTTTTCTCTATCTAAGCATTCATTTATATAATGAGTTTTATAGAAATCTTCGCAGATTCATTGAAGTACCTTTGCTTATAAACGAAATCATCCCATTTATCATGCATTTTATTGATTTTCAAGTTCTATTTTAATGTATTCATTATTACTTAGTAACAGATTATTATGTTTATTATGTATGTTTACTGACTGAATCACTTTGGAAAACAATCCACTTACAACAATTTTAAACACTAAATTCACTTGGTATTGTTTGTTTAAATCTTCCCATTGATGTTTAGAACTGCAACTGATCAGTCTCGTATTGGCATATGTGCATACTGTGTGCATTGCCTCAATATACCCTTAATTCACAAGCATTGTAAGCAAAGATGAATAGTGTCTAGCAGTGGAATCCATGACTCAGTAGCTAAGTGGATAACGTGATGGCGTTTGAATTGAAACGGTACTGTGTTCGAGTCCCAGAATGAACATCAACAAGCCTGAGATGCAGGTACATCCAGCTGACGAGTGCCAAATAGGACGAAGTGGCGCGCATCCTGAATTCCACTGCTAGCCACTATTCACCTTTGCTTTTAATTTTAAACACTGATTTTAATTTACTCACCATTCTGTTACTTGTTCTCTTACTGTAATCATTCTGACCCCGTCATTTATATAGATAATGAAAACAAATTTATAACTATCAGAAGGGGTTTTGTGGAGATTTAGTATTTTTTTATAGTTAAAAGCGTGAGTCAATTGAAGCTAGACCACAATGGAAAACCTGAAAACACTGGATGACATTTTCGTCCTATTATGGGATTCCTCAGCAGTGCGCATCCATGAAGATTCGAATCCAGGACTGATCCGGTTGAAGTTAGACATTAACACAGTTGGATGCCAGCTCAGTGGTCTATCGGTTCAGGGCTCTGGCTTGAGACTGGTAGGTCCTGGGTTCGGATTCCGCGAGTGCGGGATCGTGAGTGCGCATTGCTGAGGAGTCCCATAATAGGACGAAAATGTCATCCAGTGTTTTCAGGTTTTCCATGGTGGTCTAGCTTCAATTGACTCACACTTTCAACTATGAAAAGTTTATAACTAACTATTCACCAATGAAATGATAGGTCACAAATATGTTGACAAGTATATTGGTAGCAAGAAATTATGGGTGAATAGTTATGATATGAGAACAAAATCTAACCTTTAAGGCAAATTTTAACAGTTAACTTATCATTTACACTATCACTATTGTCCTCATTCATATTTTTTCAACACATTGATTGAGGGTGATAATAAGAACATTTTGTGTTTGTATCAAGTGGTTTATACATTTCATTAGTTACCATGGTAATTCGAAAATTGACATATTTTATTATCGAGTACCTGAATCATACCAAATTTTTGCTATGTAACTTTATCAATTTTATCTTTCTCATCAGATTATTCTTATTGTCATGATGAATTCACCTGTCAACATATGGGAACAATTTCCATTCAACATGAAGATGTAATATGTATATGTTTCTAAGCCACCTTTTTATATTTTTGAAAAATATATGAATTAACCTGACCGTATTTAGATTTTTACAGATCTTCAGTTGAATATAAATAAATAAGTATACTTGGTAGAATATGAAAGAGAAGAGTAAGGCAAAGAGATAGAGAGAGAGAGTGAGAGAAATCCTCGTTTGGTTCAAATATGTAATAGATACATTTTTACGTGTATACAACTTTAGAGAACATGATATTTGATAAACAATTTGTATAGATGGTTTGCTGTGGTGATTTTAAGTAATTTTTATGTATAGTTGAAATCATGAGTCAATTGAAGCTAGGCTACCATGGAAAACCTGGAAGCACTGGACGACCGTTTCGTTCTATTGTGGGACTCCTCAGCTGTGCTTGCCCACTATCCCGCCTCGCAAGATTTGAACCCAGGACCTACCAGTCTCGAGTTAGAGCCCTTAACCGCTGATTGCCAGCACAGTGGTCTATCGGTTAAGGACTCTGGTTCGAGACGGGTAGGTCCTGGGTTCGAATCTTGCTCGCGAGTGCGGGATAGTGGATGCGCACTGATGAGGAGTCCCACAATAGAACGAAACGGCCGTCTAATGCTTCCAGGTTTTCTACTGTGGTCTAGCTTTAATTGACTCATGATTTCAACTATTGTGGTGTGATCTACTTATATCCATATAAGTAGTATAAAGTGTGGGTCATACATAGAATGTATTTTGGCAGAAGACCGATGAGGAAAGAACTGAAATGAAGCGCAAACGGGTCAGTATACTAACTTTCTTAGTTTTGTTCCTCTACAGTACAAAAGGAACCTAATTAAGACATTACACTATAGAATTAAGACCATATGCTCTGAAGATACGGTCGAAGAAGAAACAAAAGCATTATATATGACCCTGAGGGAAAATGGATACCCGGAGAAATTTATAAACAAAAACATAACTAGTAAAAGAGACCATAAAGAATGTTTAACTGTGAATAAAAAGCCTCTGTATATACGTCTACAATTCAGAGGTGACGCACCTAGCGAAATGGTAAGATTGAAACTACGAAGATCAGTCGAAAGGACTTTTAGTGCAGGTAAACTACAACTAATGTTTTCCACGCGCCCAATGATCACGCCGACGTTGAAAGATAAATTGCCTAGACTAGCCACTTCCTTTTGTATCTATCAATTCAACTGCTCCTGTGGAGCAAGTTATATAGGCAGATGTTCTAGGAATTTGTATACTCGGGCTCGTGAACACCTTCCAGTGTGGTTAAGCAAAGGTGTAGTCAGAACGGTTAACAGCTCTGTTTTAGCCCATTTAGTTCAGACGGGACATATAGCCGACATCGAGCAATCCTTCACAGTAATATATCGTGTTAATAGTAGTCTACCTAATTCTGTCAGACAGAGAATCCTGCAGACGGCTGAGGCAATTGCTATTCAGATCAAAAAGCCAGAGCTCTGCATCCAAAAGAAATATATACAGCCGCTCAGTTTACCCTGGCCAACTTCAGGGTCAACTTGTTAATAATCAATTTTGTAATATGGTGACATTAATTTGATTAATGTTCACTTCTATATCTCAAACTTAGTTTATCTACACATCTTATCAGTCATTATTCTTATTATCTTTCAGGAGGGGATTTGTGGAGATTTCAGTATATTTCAAAGTTGAAATCATGAGTCAATTGAAGCTAGACCACCATCGAAAACCTGGAAGCACTGGACGGCCGTTTCGTCCTATTATGGGACGATCTCGCGAGTGCGGGACCGGAAGTGCGCACTGCTGAGGAGTCCCATAATAGGACGAAACGGCCGTTCAGTGCTTCCAGGTTTTCGATTGTGGTCTAGCTTCAATTGACTCATGATTTTAACTTTGAATTATTATCTTTATTATTATCATTATTATTATACCTGCTAACCTTTTAGAGAAATTTATTCAGCATCCACCCCCTATCTACTATATCTGACCTAATTTATATTATTCTACATATTACGTAATTTCTGATTTATAATCCCATTGTTCTCTATCTCTCACCCCCTTGTCAACTATGCATATATTCTGATCATTATTTATCTTACGATTTTATTTCACCTATAAACTGATTCAATTTAACACTTCATATTAGTCATCCCGAAAACATTAACGATTCGATCTTATCTTCATTTTATCTGATAAACAACACTCCTTGATTCACATATTACAGTTTCTTAAATTGATGTACTCTGCCTTAAACTTGGTCAATCTTCTTTTATGGATTATTAATTTATAATTATAAAGTACCCGATGAGAAATTATTGAAAAGAATATTCTTCCGTTCATATTAATTGTGTTTTAATATTGATAGTTTCAA